CCCTTCATTCCTAAACAGAGGTTATATAATGCTGCTGTATGAGCATAAGACGAGCTTTACCTCTACTACATCACTGACTATCTGATCTATGATTCAAGAGCAGTTCGTTTCTACAAGTTTTATCGTATAGGAAATTAGGAATGGTGTTTTATTACAGTCCTTGCCTCGTATACACGTATTGTAGCCATTGCATCGTGCAAAACAAAACTAATATTCATCAAGATTCATGAACTTGAGACCGAGTTCAAAGAGCTGTTGCATATTAAACCCAACTAGATTGCTAGATTACGAAGGAAGAGCTCAATGCTGCACTTCCAAGCGATTCTTACCGATCTCCAAGAGCACACAAGTATCCTGCGCTACAACTGCAGACCCGGAAGTAGGATGAGACTTTTTCCAGTGGAATGTGTCGTCCAGCTCATCCAGGTGTCCTTTCCATTCCGTTAGCACGACCATAAACATCTGTAATATGATAAAATCCATCAGTGGAGAAACGCAACCGCTGTCGTGTTAATGAACATATCGGAGTTCAACCAAACTTGACTCCAGCGTGCTGCGTCTCTGTTCACTTCCTCCGCAGAGCCGGTGGAGGTGCTGGAGTGCCTGTGATTTATTATGGGAATGCACTGATAATACATTCAATACCTTTTCTGTTTTCCTTTCGATTCATTTATGATCAAACCCATTCAAAAGTCATTTGCAGGTCTTGATTCCAATTGCGCTTCTTCTCTTCTCTTTTCCACCCTGTTTTCCTTTGCTTTCTTCTGCATCCTAAATACACTCTTGAAATGACTCAGGATTGAGATTTCATTTATTATTATCTAGTGGAATTTAATTGCTCATTATTTTTGCCTATTGGAGAAAGTCAGTTTATGTACTCTATATCATGGAGGCTGGGACTAGCTGTCAATATAGGCCTCAATATAGGCCTAAGGTTTGGAGTCAATAGTCCCACTATATATATTTTCCCCCCTTTTCTTGGTTTTCAAACACCTACTTTAAAATTATTTTAAAATGATATCCCATAAACTAAAATTCCAATATCAGCTTATTTTTGTACTACTACAATTTTAATAAACGTCA